ATTTTTTAGTTCATTAATCTGTAGCTGAAGCTGTATAGGTATGACAAAATATTGGACTTATAATTTTTAAATTTATTAAACGTTTGTTTTCAATTTCAGGAATGAAATACAGTTTGGTTTTAATGACACTTTTAATTAGTTACGTTTTACGGAACTTCAGTGTGCACACGGATATGAAACTCAGTGACATTAAGTTAAAATTAGGTATGTCATTACACAATACCGTGGGTTTTCCAATAACCATTCAATCAAGAAAACAATAGTAATTTTGTACTTTAATGATGCCGAAATGCTTTCCCGTTAAATCAATTTAATATTTATATATATACTTGAATACTAATACAAGTTACAAATTAAAATATAACTAAAGTGTATGTTTTTATGAGTATAATTATTATTATTGCAACTAATTATGTAGAATATTATCGTGTATGCATTTTAATTTTAATTTTTAACCTCCCGTTAAGGGACTATAACAATTTTACCACATTGCCTCGACCACGGAAACTAAGTGACATTAAGTTTCAAATAGATGTATCATTACATATTATCAATGGTTTTCCCAAAACTATTCAATTAAGACATAAATCGTATACTACATGAAATATGATTTTCAACTATACCTCTCATTTATCATTTATTCAAAAATCAGAATTAAAACTATAATGATTTCACGATTTTATAAACTATTTTAATTTTTGAACGAATAGTTTTTGTCATATTACAATTTAAGCCGGTTAAGATAACGGGAGATAAAGGACAGATTAAGCACGAAATCGGCGTTGAGCGGAAAGTGCACGGCATCGTGAACAAATTTAATTTCTTTTCCTACTAAGTTAAAATCTTTTAAAAATATTATTATTACATTTATGTATACTAGACAATTATAATTTACATAGAAAAATAAATGGAAATATGTATATTTCGAGATCATTTTCTTTGTAATTTTATTTTATTAATAAGACCAGAGCATACTAATACGTCCTCATAAGTACGCCGTAATTATAGTAGATATAATATTAATTAATAACGTGTAATAATGTCCTGTGCGAGGTACTATGTTAACATGGACGAAAAAAGAATGACACACTAGACCACTTTTAGACCACCGAACTAACCAACCTATTTTCTTTCGTTCGATATACTGATACGGGAATGATGGAAAAAATAATAAAAATTGGCACGGAAAACGCCGGG